AGTGTGAGGGCTAGTTTACAAAAGAGGATTCGATCAACAAGTCAAAATTTTAATTGACCTTATTCAGGGCAGTCTGCACCATTTTGCATTTTGTAAACACAATTTAGTTTGGTGATGCGACTAATTATGATTGAATAAGGAAAGCAAAACCACAAAATACATTTTAAATGAGGGCACATTGCCACGAAACACCAAAAATAACATGGACATAATTGATCCATTTTTGCAGCTGAACAGTATTTTGTCTCTTAGTGAGGATGGGTGCTCCCGCCCCTTTTGACACATTCACACACACATAAGCAGCAGACACACGCGGACTGTGGTGGTTACGGCTGCATGGTGGGCAGATTAAATGTCTTTTTAGTCTCTCTGGGGAGCAGTTAGACAGAGCACCTCTAATCCTGTCCCTATGGGAGCCCCTTGTGCTATGAATCACACTCTCGTTAGGGGCTCCAGGCAGACAGGCAGCCACGCCCCCTCCGCTCGATGCCCAGACACCAGCATCACCCTCCGGCAGCAGCATCACTGACCCACCCCTGCATCGGCACAGAAGGGGAGGAACCGGCTCTGGTGGAGGAGATAGCAGGAACGGGCCAGACAATGCTCTTTTTACATGAGCTTTTTACAACAATGTGCCTAAAACTGGATTAATTTCAGAATGAATAGACTAATTTAGTGTCCATACACTGAATCATTAACTGAGGGTCAGGTCCCTCAGTGGACTCCATGTACTGAAAATACAGTTCTAGAGAAGTTTGACCTCTTTTGCCAAAGCATTAAATCCAACAAGCATCATCTTCTACAAAAGAAAGTTACATTGTTCTAATTACAATAGAATCATTTCCTATTTTTTTTCAGCATCCACCATCTCCAGAAGCTAAGCATTTTAATTAAGATACTTAAACTACAACAATGCTATATTCTTTTTTGTGATCAGTATTTTATTTGATTTGTATACAGTAAATACAGATGGTTTAACAGTAAGAGTAAGTGCAGTTTTGTTTGCATTTCACATTGTCCAGTGTAACAATACAGTTTTTTTTTCTTCTTTCTTTAAGCACAAGTCAGAGGAGTGAAAGAAAATCTTCCCCCGTAGCTATGTTCCCTTCCGAAAACCCAAACCCATCACATAAAACATCTTTGCCCCAAAATTTACGATTACATCTGACGTTAGACGTGGCCATCTTTCATCCCTGAATATGACTTTTATTTATGGTCATTCCTGGATTTTTACTGAGTTGGAGCGCAGTGAATAGGCCCGCAATCGTATGGCCCGTTGAACAGAAAACGACCACAGTGCAGAATTATGAACCCTCCTATCCTCCCTCTCCTCTCTTCTCTTTGGGAGTTGGGGCAAAGCTTGTGGTCTGCCTGTGGAACTTGATTAATATTTATGTCACTATCCACACCGGTATACATCAATCAATCACAAACGCCCTCCTGCGAAGGGGTGGGGCAGGGGCGACGCGGGGGGAGAGAGATAGCGGGGCGTAGAGGAATGGCCCGCTGTCATTGGGAAAGGGTTGTGCACAGTTCACCACACCTTCTGCACGGCAACCACAGCCGAGCAAATCAGGAAACTCCAGCCTCAGTGTGGATGAATGCAAGAAAATGTATGAGCTCATATGTGCGGCGTCGTATTGATCTGCTGTCTGGGTACTGTTCAGAGTAATGAATGAATGTAGCCAGGATGAATTTCCCTCAAAGCAGTGTGTTTATGCAATTTAAGGATGTGGGAAGAGGAGGCGCTGGGAACACAAAAGCAGAGACTTATTTTACATGTCTCAATATTTTACAAAGCAGCAGAAAATAGGAACTGACTCCATGTTATAGCTTAAGTTTAACAGTTTTCTAATTATTTAATAGTGCACATTGTAACTTTTCTGGTGAAGGGCTGCCACCTCCAACATTCTGTAGTCTGTCAATAAATGTAACCTTTGCATTAGATATTGATATTATTTGCCCAAAATGAAGAAATTTTAAAAAAAGAACAGCAGTAAGGTGAAAATATACTACGGCATGTAAAATGTGTAGTACAAGTTAATGGGTGTCTTGTTGTCTAATTGTTGACGTGTTTTTCTACAGAGACACATTATGTAGGGAATCTTGGCATCTAAAAAGACATTTTTTGTGAACATGTAATTATATAGGGAAAAATTTTTAGATTTTTCTTAGTCATGTCAAGGTGAGACTTTATTGAATGTTGCAATACCTGTGTACTGTACTCACAAAAGGAATGTCTTTATAATGCATAATTTCAGCTTTGTCAGTGGAATTTAATGAGTGGGTGCTTAAAAATATCAGTTCTATTGAATGAAAGAAAGATGGCATCAGGGTAAGTCAAGATAATTTAAAAAAACAAGATACTTTAAGTTGAACTTCCAAGGACTGTCCTCAGAGCAAGTAAACTTCTCCGGTCTGCAGTCCCCGCTGTGTAACTCCACACTTTGAGCCCTAAGTTAGCTGAGCTGCAGTTTTTGAGAATGAAAGGAAAGGATAAACCGAAACCCAACTCCACGAGGGTCTGCCTGTCTGCTATTGTGGATATTTATATCTGCTGTGCGTCTATGGCAGAGACACAGAGGGAAATACGAACCAGCCAACCCAAGCTGACAGTGAAGAGTCAGACTGTCAAGAGGTCTGCCCCCCTCCGCACATTCATGCCCCCCGCTACAACACCCAAATGGATTGTCATATCAGATTTAGGTGTATAGGTTATTACACCCTTGGGCTCCTGTTTCCAACACACTTGTCTGCAGGGCAGGATTGAGTTTGAGGACTCTCTCTTCTTGTTCCCAATCTCTGCAACTTACTAAATTCTTTGGATCACAACAGATAAAAGACAAGTCAATTCCTATAAGTGTGATGTAATGCAAGTCTGGCCTGTTGATTCGGTCTGCTACAACTATCGTAATTTTAAGATAAATAAAGTTCCAGTCTTTCATTTGGGTCTTCACTTGCTCCAGCAACCACAAGGATCCATGGGTTTTAGAAATAAAATTAGGACTGCTATCATAAAAATTAACCAAGTAAAACAAAATCTAAGATCTGGGCTATGATTTAGAGAGAAGAACTTGGGCACTGGACATTTGCGGTTTACTTCTCAATGAACTTCAACTGTTTACACAATAAGTCACAGTGAGGAGAGAACTGTCTTATTATCTGAATTGAGACCCCAATATTGTAAGCTGTAAGTGTTGTAAATTGTAACAGCCTAGCAGCAATTGTGTGAATCTAGTCAAAACTCTGAATAGAGCCCAGAGCCTCTGCCGATTCAAGACCCTGGAAGATCATTATTCTTGATTTGCAGTTCAGTTTGTTTTCTAACCTGTTTTAAGATCAGAATCAGCAGAAATAATACAATTGACTCTACTGTTTACCGTTGATGAGGAAGCATATCTCATCCCATCCCTGTACGTAGAAGTCCATCTATCAATAGTGACATTTTAGCAAAGCCAAGCACAGAACAAGAAAGGCTTCAGTCATGTGCGCTGAGAGGGGGGAATTTAAAACCAATTATTCCTGACATGTACATAAACTATAGAATATAATGTATGGGGACAACAGAAAGGATATGTTTATGACAATGCAGATAATCAAGCATAACATTATGACCAACGCGAATACAGCTTTATAACCAGGTAAAATTCCCTAGAAGTTGGAATTGGCTTCTAGACATAATTCACACAAACACAGACATAAAAATTGTTCATAAGACACATTAAGGTGCCCAAGACTAAAACATTACAGATGTCCATAAAAATAATAACATACATAAACAGGTACAATTTAGCAAACAGATTTAGTTTTACATCTAGGGACCAGGCCATTGTGCAAAGGGTGGGACAAATTGGGCTGGGCATTTACAGTTACTTTATTGGACCAAATATCTGGGAAAGCAGATTTTTATTTTTGACAGAGAGACTGGCACACCATGAGAACAAACTAAAACATAATACTGAAAATCTTCTTGCGCACTAAAGGATACAGCAGTGAGGCTCTGCTATCTTTGAAACCAGTTAGCTGCATATTGTGGGACATTTGGAATTTCAGATATATGGGATCAGGAAAACATGTGTGAATGAAACAGACTCCAACTCAAGAAGTCTGCTCAATTGAATCTGAACTATGTGTACAGTAAGGTTAAGGCACAAATAAAATTTATGGCTTCCAGTCTGTCTATGGATTTTCTGTCATTTGTTATGCCCTCATCACTTCTGAGCTCTGCTGTCACTTAACTGAAGAATTTCTATTGATCGCAAACAATTGTTGTTTACCCACAAAGCTATAGAGGTCTGAAAGAGGATACTAAGAAAGGAAGAGACTTGCAGTGGAGTGAGGGGACATATAGATTGTAGCATTATTATTAAGAATATTCAACTGATACAGTTTGAATTTGTAATATTAAACCACACAGACAACAAACGATAATAGCGTGATAATAACAAATTAGCACTGAAAATCCTCTGACACTCAGATGCATATTTAACATCAATAGCCTTCATATTGCTTACTAACCTTTAATTATTATTATTATTATTATTATTATTATTGTTATTATTATTATTATTATTATTATTATTATTATTATTATTAGTAGTAGTAGTAGTAGTAGTAGTAGTAGTAGTAGTAGTAGTAGTAGTAGTAGTAGTAGCTGTATTATTATTATTATGCTCAAACTCTACTCAAACAGTGAGAGATACAGGACTACATACCATACTGCATACAACTGTAGAACAACTCACCATAATGTAACAGATAATACTCCCTACGACTGTACAACAATTCACCGTTATGTAACAGATAATACTCCCTACAACTGTACAACAACTCACCTTTATGTAATAGATAATACTCCCTACAACTGTACAACAACTTACCTTTATGTAATAGATAACCCTATGTCCTGTCAATCATGATATCATTGTCACACTGTCTTCCTGTGGCCTCTTGTATACAGCTGAGATTTTATATTACCATTTATATTTTTTACTCATTGTTATTATATTATATTATTATTATTATATTATTGTGATGAGTGAGATACTGTGTCCAAATAATTTCCCTTGTGGATCAACAAAGTTTATTTAAGTCTAAGTGTAAGTCAGTAAAGTCTAGATAATGGAAGGTTTCAGGTTTGTCCTGCTGTGGAGGGGTCAAGCTCCCTTTAACTTTTCCCTCAAATAGCCAGCGGGAGGTAAAATTGTATTGCATTATTACATAAGTTATTAGTGTACTCATCTGACCTCATTTCGCGTACAAGTGAAAAGGAATTTTAGTGACTATGCTAATGTATATTTTGGGGTGACAGTCATGGATGCATTGAGAGAACAGTAACAGTTTGCACACGGAGCATTTAAAAGAGCACACAGTTGATTAGTGTGGAGTTGCCTCTTACTCTGGGTCCATGCTCTTACCTGGCCGTGTGGAGCAGGGGATGCTGGGTGCCCACCAGTTTCCTCACGTGCATCGCTACATTACTGAGTTCATCACTGAGCAGGCACCGCAGGCTCATGAAAGATGTGGGATAACCGACGATCTTCTCCGCATCGGACACTACTTTGTTCCAAGTAGAGGGTCCTGAACCTGAGAAGAGGTTCAGACTCCGGTGTCCTACCCGCGCCAGACAGGGCAGGCGCCTCAAACCAGCAGTAAACATGATCTCTCCGGGCAAAAAGTCTCTCTACCTTTAAACGCAGCGTTACGTAAACCTCGGTAACATTTTAGTATTACAAAACCAGCCTGTCCCGCTCTAACTTTGCGACATACTTCAAAAAATGTAGTTACTTTAATTCATTTTACACAAAATGACATTGTACTAGCTGTGTTTTCCAACACACGACCTGTGAATGCGAGCCGCCATCTTTAATTACGTCACAAGTTACGTCCCTGAACGTAAGTACGGCCGTCACGAGCGGACACGCCCACACTTCTCAAGCACTGCTCTTTTACAAATACATGGGGGGCAAATACACAATTTCTTTATACTTCCGTCAAATTCATTATTTTTCATTAAACTTACAGCAAGTATTATTTTCCTCTATCTCCTTGTTTCACAGGATCAGGGGGTATGGGTCTAGAAAAAATAATTAGGCCTACATCATAACATAAATAGCCTAAACAAATAAATAAATACATGCATACTAATTAAAAATGTCGTATTGTACCAAAATAGTATAATAAAATGACAATATAATAAAGATATTCTAAAAACATTGTGTAAAAGTATAGCTCTGGGGAAAAACTATCATTTTATAAAACTATAGATTTCCAAACTGGATACCCTTGCAAAATTATCATCACAAGTGAATCATAGGCTACATGCCAAAAATGTAATATCATAATTTTTATTCTATTGTGATCATGATTCTATACACTATATTTACTTTAAGAGGTAATTAAGAACATTTTTCTGCGATGGATCAGATCATGTTTTACTTTGCATTGTCATATATATATTTGGGTGATTTCCGGAAAAGTATGGACCAAGAGGAAAATGTCTTTATCTTTTCTCTCTCTCTCTTTTTTTTTTCTTTCTGTGCTCCACATGGTGGTTTCTCAGATGAGGTCCCCTTTACATCACTGTGGCTGTTTTGGTGCACTGGTTGTCTGACTCCAGGCATTATGGTCTAGCTGAAGGTCCATCTTCAGTCATCCATTTTATTTGAATCTGCTGGCAAATTTAAGCAAATTGTGCTTAGTGTTTAGTTTCGACCTAAAATTGTCCTCAGTTAAATATTTCATTTGATTACTTGAAAAAAAAAACCTTGAAAAGCTCAGCTCAAATAAATATAGACCGCTTTGTTGCAAATAGTGTAATACAATATCTGAGACAAAATAACAGAGTGATGGGAAATGCCCTGAGTGTGTTGAGTTTAACAATGCTCTCATTGAATTGACTTGTTTTTGAATGTTTTTGAGTCAAGGACGGCTTATGTAAGAAGAACATTAAAAAAACATGATGAGACATTTTTTTTTATCATTTTGATTGCAATCTTCAAAAATGTGACCTGCTGATGAAGTGGTGTTTTATATTTTTGTTATTAATTAGGCTGTGTCTACTTTCTCGTAAACATGATTTGAAGAAAATTGGATCGGTTTGTAGAGTCTGCTTGGAGTGCCCTGACTCATGTCTCCTGATTCTTGTCTCAGTGGGCACTGGTGTGAGTGACCCTCCACCTGCTATTTGCTTTAATTCAATGTTGGACTGACATGTGCATTGATGAACAAAGCCAATTAACCCCTTTCAGATTTTATGATTTGAGAGAACAATATAACATTTTAATGATGCTGCATTATTAGCACCATTGAGCTTGCATGTGTCTGCAGCTTTGTTTTTTCTATGCTCCTTTCTTCAACATAAAATTGAAGTGCCAGCTACACAGAATAGGACAAACACATAGTTGAGCATCTGACAGCCTGTTATTGAGGCAGAGATCTGTGATGCTGGAGTTAACTGTATGAAGAGTTTCCAGGACAATAAAGTTGACAATTGACCTTTTACTAAAACACTGTTTAATCCAAGGGGTATATGTGATAAACATTAAAATGTCACTCATTTCGCTTGTGGCTGACCCTGAGTTATTCTTGCAAATACAAGCAGTAATCTTTACTGAGTCATTCAGTAACATTTTCAGTAGTGTGATGGCAGAGACTTGATTGCTTCAATAGGCCACATTAATATTTTTTGAGTTATCATTATTGTTTTAATGTAGGCGTCGGTACAGCATGAGAAGTCTGTAGTTTGATGATGATGCATTTTGATAGAAGCTGGCACTATTTCAGACACAATATCATTAGCCTGTTCATTCATCACCCACCTGTTGGTAGAAAGCTACTTCTGTAGTCATCGCTGTGGTAGACAAGGCTGCCAATCATATATATAGATACGGATGAGGTGTCTTGCTCAAAGACACTGCGGCAGTATTGATAGACTAATTAAACCGCTAAACTTTGGTTTGGCTCTCAACCACTGCCAACCCATTTATAGCCAGAACTGACGCCTGGGTGATGACCACATGTTGTTTAAAGTGGTGTTAGGTGAAATGTATTTCTCCTTTGCGCGCCTATCAATCTTTCAGGCATTCCCGGGACACCACTTCAGGCCACTCTTGAGTTGGAAATGAACTTGTGCGTAAAGCTACACTCTATAGGTCCGTCTAATGGTGGGGGCACCTGTTTGCTGCTCCAGCAGTGAGAGTCGGGGGAGCTGCTAAGTGGAAGTGACTGCACTGATTGCACTCGATGGGAAAGCGAGAAGAAATCGCCTACCTCTGAACATCAACGCGTCATATAATGTTTCAGCGGACGCCCCTCCCCCTGTCTCGTTTTCTCCCCTCACTCAACCTCTCTCCTTTGACTCACAGCGGCGGCTCACCACTGGCGCACGGACCGTGGAGGAGGAGACGGGCAGAAGATGGCTGACTTAGCCGGGCACCGAGAGCCCTCGGCGGCATCACCAGCGTCACATGGGCCGCTAAAACGCTGCGAGACCCCCGCCGTCTGGCGACTGTAAACAGCTGCTGCCTCTGTAACCCTCCTCCTCCTGTCCCTCCTCACCGCAAATATTGACAGAAGAAGTATCAGAGAGAAAACATGGCAGAGATGGAAAAAGAGGGCAGACCTCCGGAAAATAAGCGCAGCAGAAAACCAGCTCACCCGGTGAAGAGGGAAATAAACGAGGAGATGAAGGTAACACCAGAGGGGTTTGTCCAGCTGCATGTGCACGGGGGCGCGCAGAGGCAGTGCTTACAGAACTCGCGTGTTGAAACCTCCATGGAAATTTATGATACACTCTAGTGTAATTGGCTGGGTGATGGTCCAACTTAGATCCCATGATTCCTATATAAGTTAAGTGCCGTGCCATGGCCAGCAGCGCGCTCCGTCTGTGCCAGTGCCAGCGCCACCTTGCACAATGGATGCGGCACCCATTCACTGCTCCTGTAGTAAGTTTTGAATCAATGGAGATGCCACTGTGCCTTTCTAGTGCGCCGCGTCTCTGTTCCCCCCGTTTAAGCGCTTTTTAGCTTCACGGCTTGCCCAGAGGTAATGGAAAATCCTGTGCGTCAGTGAAGGCGTCAACATCGCTCGTACTACAGTAATACTAATACAATTGCGGCTGCACATGACAAGCAGCTAATGCATAATTAGTCTAAATCAATGGGGGAACACTCGTCGGCGCGTGATGCTTTGTGGAAATGCGTGCATGTGTTTGTGTGTGCTCGCAGCTGCCCAAAGGCTTCCGATCCAGATGTGCGTCTGTCAGCTTTACGCACACGACACGAGCACATTGTCTGCCGTTGTTCCCACGACACGCGGTTTTATTTTTATTTATGCTTTTATTTTACCCTCTTTGGGAGTGTAAATGGGGTTTGTTGTGGTTGATTTAAGAAAGTGCTATTTGTGCGCGAGGCTGCTGCTGTACTGAGCGCTTTGTCTCTGTACCCTCATTGTTTGTACACATTTTCAGGGAATCCTACTACTCTGGATAGATTTATAGCTGTAGTTATATGGATAAGTCGTAATCAACATTATGTTTTAACGCCTTTAACGGGAAAGCAAATGTGCATGCATCTTGCGAGTCCTGAAGCAACCCGGGTTGATATAAGGGCTTTTTGTACTCACACATCCAAAATAGCAACCGCGTTCATGTGTCACCACAGCCTATCCTACTGTAGACTCAAAACATGCGTAAATGAAAAACTTGCTGATTGTGTTATAGCTATATCATCTCTTTTCTCAGTAATATTTGAATTCACTGGACATTGGCTGGCAATGCAAAGTGGAGTTATATTTAAACAATATGTTGTGAAGGCATCCCCCAGTGTCTGGTCCTGAGGGAGCTAGGGTGGGGTGGCAAAGCTCCCCTCTTTTTGTGGGGTGCAGAGGAAGTGCCATAGGCAAATAGTCATGAAGTCAACCAGTCTGAATAGGATGGTTGAGCTGATTCGCATTTGAGACCAAGAATCAGTTTCTAATGTTTTAATATTTTATTTCATGGAAACACATTGTGGAGGGATTTTCATTGTATGTGGTGAAGTAAATTACACTGAAATGATTGCTGCTACTGCAAACTAGTTTAAAAGAACAGAGTGGGGTGAGGAAGCAGTTTTCCTCAATTGTTATGGAGTTTTTTCTTCCATTTTATAGAGGGAACACTTAAGATAAACTGAAGGTTAATTGACAAAGCTCATTACTGTTTACAGTAATGAGTTACTGTTTTGAATAGGGGGGCTTTTGTATATTCTGGTGATTACCTTAACACAATGACTTGTGCATGAAGACAGTCAATATTAAAAAGCAGTAGCCTTCAGAAATTCAATCCAAACCAACAATGTAGACACAGTATCAAGTCTTTACTTTGTATACAACATTACATCTTCAATATTTCAAACTAAAAAGAAAAGTTTCACTGACACACAATGCGCCCTTGTTAGCTGTCATAGAACCAACCCTTCTAATGTGAGCCCTGTAAGAGAAGCCTCGGTGAGTAATCAGGGATTGGAGCAGTGGGCACACAGGAGGCTGCACAGTGGGCTCAGAAACAGGCAGAAAGGAATGTATACAGCAGCGGGCTGGTTAAGCTGTAAAAAACTGTAACCCGAGTGTGTGCGCTGGATCAAATATCAAGGAAAGTGGAGGGGAATGAAAGCAGAGGATAGAGAGACGAGTGGAAAGGCGGAGGAGAGCAGGAGGATGGAGGGAACGCGAAGGGAAAGTTGGCGTGTAGATTGGGGAATTTTATCACGGTGTACAGTGACCTGCTCTGGTTTCTGGCCACAAGCGATCCAGTTTCCACCATCATCATTACCACAGCCCTGGCGGCGTGTGGGCTCTGACTGCAGGGAACAACAGGCATCTCTGTCCGTGTATTTTCATCATTAGCAGCTGTAGAGCCAGCTGGAGTTACACTTAAAGCTTGTTTACCCTTCAGAATTAGAGAGGGGGCTACTACAGTTCCTATAACTGTGGACATGATACGGCTGGGGTTTATGAGTCACACAAAAGTACATGCAACTTATTATAAGGTTTGCACAATACACGAGCACTACTGCCAGGCTCACATCTACTACTCCTATTACTGCTGCTACTACTACTTTAGATTTGGTATCACAGTAGCAACAGACTTTCATATTCTGGCAACAATCCTACACTTTGTATTTTCATAGCCAAACCTGACCCTGTGTCACTGTCAGCTCTCACTGTACTCTAGCTTCAAGCATCTACAGATATGTATGGGAGAGTTGGTAACTTTTAGTAGTTAATAGAAAATACATGCTAAACTGAATGGCTGTTTGTGTGTCACACTGTCCATGTTGTACCAAAGTCACTGGATTGATCTCAGTTACTGCACCCACAGATTAATGTTATTTCCATTATGGGCTCACTAGTTAGTCTGTCCTTGTGTCATCCCAAGTCTAGATTTAGTGTATGCGGAGCAGTATTTCAGAAATGTAGGGCATCTGGCTTAGAAAGATCTCAGCACTCACTGATGTTTATGCTGTTGTTGAATGCAGATGTACTCTTGTGCACTTCACTTGACCCCTGTTCAGTTACAAACCTCTGAATGCTTTTCTGGTAAACAAAAACAAAACCATTTGTGTGCATGACCATTGGTGTAAGCCCTTAGCAAAACAAGGTTATAATAAGTAAACTGGATAAAACATTAAGAAGTCTATTATCTGAATGGTTTAGCTCTTATCCAGACTTCATTTAACCTTTTGCTCTGAATGGCTATACAAAAAGCCTTTACAGCCAGTGTTTTCTATCATTCGTAGCTGCCACTGCTCCTCCGACACCTCTTCCTCAGTAACTAAAGCAGAGCCAAAGTTGGCAGTGGCGCTTTGATGAAGGGCCAGGCAGGATTAGGTTACTCTCTTAATAATACTCCCACTTTCTCCAGTCGTATAGGTGACACAGAGGACAGTGGCACAGAGACAAGCGGTGTTTTTGTGTCAGCTTCAGCTACATCCGACTTTTTAAGGACCTCTTCAAACAGGCTTCACCTAGCAAGTAAATGTATCCTGTTATCATCTACGAGGCTGATCATTTCACGTGCGCTGAACGTGATGAAAGCAGATTTCACTTATAGCGGCTTACTTTGGACCTTTGTCTGAATTTATAGTTACAAATATATTAAAAAAAATACCCTTTGGTGGAAAATTTGTATATATAGTAACCGTATTGTAGAAATAGCATCAGTAGAAGAGTTTAAATTTAAAGTTCTTTATAAAAGTGCAATAAATGATCATTTACAAGCAAACATTAAAAAAAAAAAGACATTTAGGAAACTAAAATAGGAGATAAAACAAACCAAGACCTGAATGTGTTTATACATTGGATACATTTCGAGTTAGACTTAAATAATATTCTAACGTGCCATATGAACTTTAAACTGGTGTATTGACTGGGAGGACCTGTGCTGCTACAGAAAAGGCTGTCACCTCTGGTCGAGCCTGGCTTTAGGCCCAGACAACAGGAGCTGTTCAGTTGATGTCAGGACTGTAGGCAGAGTGTGGGGCTGTAGCAGCTTGGTCTGATAGGATTGGCTCATGAAGTCCAGATTACTAAAACATTTAGCAAGACCTTGGCTTGTGTTTGAAATGGGAGACAGTGGGTACAAATAACAGGAGTGATATGTTTTCATTGTATGTTTTGTAGGATTATCAGTTACAACAGATGCAGTAGCAGTTGTAGTCATACTAACTGCAGTGACATATGTGGTTGTATTTTAGCAGTGTTCAGTGGGTTTAGTTGTAAACTTTCTGATAAACATTTCAGAATTTGTTATTTTTCTAGCATAATGTTTTTGTTGAGCTCATCTATTGAAATAAGATATTGCAGAATTTTCAGCATTTCATCCCTCTTAATTTTGTATACCTTTTCTCATAGTTTACTTTATCTGTGGAAGAAATTTGACAGAAACCTAAACTTTTGGGCATGGCAGGCTGAACTTTAAATGTCGGTGGATCACTGTTGGTGTGATAATTGCTTGTCTCTGTGGATGTCAGAGTGGTTTCTGAACATCTTTCTGTGAAACTAACTTTAGCTGTGCTCGAGAAGTGCTGCTAAATCTCACTTCCAGGGACCTCCGGGCTCTTCTGTCACTCACCAGCGTTTAAGCACAAGTTATTACTACTGCAAACATAAGCCAGCCTCATTAGCATTTCACTATTTATATAACGCAACCAATAAAAGAGTCAAAAGGAATGTTCTGATGTTCTCACCTTCACCTTATGGGGTCATCATGGCAGATTACTGTGCATTGATTTATGTGTTGACTTGGGTTAAAGATGCCCTTTCTCGCACAACTCTTCATTTATCCAAGATGAGTACATTTCATTTGAAGATCCCCTTATATTTGCTCAAACTAGAGCTGGACCATGGTGATAAAAAACAAATCTGATTTCATTCCTGTGATAGTTTGCTTTTTTAGTCATATCATATCATATCATATCATATTGTTCATTGTTCATATCATATTGTTACTAGTTTTCTCTTGAATGCAGTTCTATGCTCAAACAATTATTATTATTATTATTATAATACAAACATTATTGGTCAGCCTGGGCAAGGCTCAGCAATGCTCTGAGAGACTGGCAGCTATAACCAAATGCAATGTGAAAAGTGTGAGAAAAATAACTTTGAGGCAACATAAAAATACTTTAGAGTTTACATGAATCATTATCAAATTGAAATTGTGATCTGGCTCCAAGAATACTGAAATATACATTTTTGGCATATTGCTCACCCCTAGTGCAAACCTTATTTTGTTTTCTTCAATGATAACTGCATTATCAGCATCTTGCCATTCAGTCAACACAGTAATATCAGAAATACTGCCACTAATAACTGTCTACTAGGCTGCCAAGTCTTAGACATTGATGATATAGTTATAATAAATTATATATAATATATCATATATACTATAAAGAAAGAGAGGTTTATAGATATAGAATATATAGTGTTGTAAATATGAACATGAAGACTTGATTTTCATTTTGATACCATGACATTTAGAAAATGTAGCAGTTCTTTTAATATTTCTAAATCGTTTTCCATGTGTTCATCAGCTTGATTTAATATAGGTTTAATTTGGTCTTATTTATGAGATTTTTCATTTGTATTGATACTTCAAATTAGCATTTACTTTCAATCTTTGTTTTATTGATTAATATCTTGGTAACAATTGTTTTCCATGCCATTGTATAGAAGCAGGACTTGAACTTGGATTGTGTGAGAGAATATCCTATGCAGTCTATCGAAATTTCCTTCCTATAGACTTCATTAGATAAATGCACAGATATAGAAAGATACAATATGCTTCTGTGGATCCTGGGCAGCAAATACAGTCTCTGATGTGCAACGAGATATTGTGCATCAGTTTAGTGTTAAGTGGGTGGTTGTGTTAAGCCTTTATTGCCACAGACACATTAGTTTAATTTATGTGGGTGGACCTTTAAAGCTAAATGTACTGTACGGGCACAGTGTTCCTATTCACTGGATGTTTCATTTTATTTCTCCATAATATGTAACATCTCAGTGTTAAGTGTTTTTTCTTAGTTTGTCAAAATGAAAGTACGGAATCAAAATGAGTATTGCTTAAGTAGAGATACCTAACAGATGAATACTAAATGTTGTGTTAAATATTTTAAACCTATACTTAGAAATACTCGCTAATTGCTAGACCTGTTATATACTGATAAGTGCATTAAATTCTAATAATCTTACTTCTGATAGGCTATGAAACACATACTATATTATCATTCAAAAACAAAACGTGACATTTGCCTTTATGGGTTAAAACAGTTACTATATGTTATCAAATTCTGATAAATTCTGTAAATTAAGATCTTAATCTGTGTTTTCAAGTTCATCTTGTTTTTCTCTAAAGACAAAGAGCTCTTTTGTATCTCATTTTTGCATTTCTGACTGCATTTACGCATAAACAAGCACCACTTTAAACTTTCCACGCATTAGAAACACCAAATAAAATCACGGCATTTAAAGCCACAGCACAAGTTGTCAGATGTGCCACAACATATTGACAGAACAGTGCCTTAAGTCATGGAGAGGGACTGCTGTTTTGAAATGTGGAATAAATGAATAAGTGTTTCTTTCAAACTCAATGCAAAACAAACCGACCAATGGGAAGCCAAGGCGGGTCATCTCCACGGCAACAGTCTACTGTACATAACTGCACAGGGAAAGTGTTTGTCCTTGTGAGCCGGTAATATGACTCTGCAAGCTGTTGTTGTGTGTCAATTGACAAGCACGTTTACTTAAGGCTAAATCAGTCCACATGGTACATTTAGAGCTGGGATCAAACTGCAGTTACGATGACGATTTTTGAGGCTTGAAAACTGTTATAAGTGAAGTGACCCATGACCAATCTTCTATTACAGATGATGTGTTTCCATTACCACAGTAGTCTGGTCACAAATAACCAAGTTAACCCTGTGCCAAGATAGACCTGTGCAATAGTCATTATAGTTAATTTATTCATGCTTGGGAATACATTTTTTGCTAAATATTTAAAAGTGCAGTATGTAACTTTTCTGGTGGACAGTTTGCTACCTGCTAGTCTTCATTCAGATGTCTTTTACTACTAAATCATCTCTTTGAAAAAACATGTCATCTTAATGCCAGGTCACTTTTCTATAGATCTGACCTGTGACCCTAACATGACTTGGTGGTGTCATGTCTTAATGCAAATAGATAAGTTTTGCCATATTGTGGAGAGTACCTTTAATGTTTTTTCCACCTGTTTATTTCCCTTACATCAGTACCATATATAATCCAGCTGCTATGGATACAGTGTAATTGCATTGGAACAACATCACATAACATCAACTTGAGTTGATTTGGCGTAACGTCCTTGTCACGTACGATATAGGCTTTCTCTCTTCATTATAGCCAGAGAAGAACCTGTGCTAAGAAGTGTTAAGGACCAGTATCTCAACTGGATGTGCAGCATTTGGACAGAAATTTGTGCCAATAAGGCTAACCTGCTGTACTGACAAGTAGCTGTAATGTTAACAGTTAACTGGGCTCCATATCTTTAGTATTCAAACATCTTAATTTGTGCCTATAGTACCTGGGTCTCCTTGAAGCTATGGCTCTAACTATGACATAATTGTGTGTTGCAGAGTTTTGCGGAGAACACCATGAATGAGCTGCTGGGCTGGTACGGCTATGACAAAGTGGAACTGAGAGATTCAGACCAGCTGGACATCGAGACACCGCAACACATCTCTGTACTCAAAGGTACAATAATATTACATCGGAGCTTAAATACTAGTATAATCAGTATGCTACAAATCACGGGTGGATAATATTCAAAGATAAAATTCAGAACTACAAGAGGACCAAACCAAGTCTACATAAAGAATAAATTAAGATCAAACCAGGACTAGTGTGAATACATCCTTAGTAACTTTTGGTTGCCTATCTGTGATTGGTTAAATCTGTCTGTCACTCACTCAGAGCGTGACAGAGGCTGACCAGTAACAGCAGCAGGTGAGAGAAGGTAACTAGCCAATGTTAGTGATTGAGCATAGAGCTGCACAATTTACACAGAAAACACTAAATGAACATATAACTTTCTCCAAATGGTTCACAAACAACAATTTGACTTTACATCATCACCCACCTTTACTGTACATACATGCAAGCCTAAAGTGTAAAGGTGGATGATATGATGCTATAAAGTCAATTTGGTATGTCATACAACATACTTCTTCAAATCTGTTCAAGGTGCTATGTATTATTGTGCTTCTCATAGGATTTTCATTTATTTTAAGGCATAATTATACAACAGTATATGCAATTGTATAATTATGTATTATTTGTCTATATTTATTAATATTTTGACAACAGTCTCTTGTTATGTTTGCAATGCATTTATTATTACATTTATATTTTTACTCTTGCATTATATTGTGATGACGTGTGAGCTACTGTGTCCAAATAATTTCCCTTGCGGATCAGAAAAGTTTGTCTAAATCTAGGTCTAATTCTGTTCCCATCCAGAAAACTCATTGCCAAAACTCGGCTCTTCCTCGGAGGGGGGTGGTGAATGCTCTCCGGATGGGGCCAACAGTTCACACTCTCAGCCCGCCAACAGAAATGGAGTCACCGAGGCCTCCAGTGCAGCGCCCTCCTCAGGCTCAAAGGAGCACCTGCCCATCATCGTGCCCATGGTCCCTCCCCCACTCATCAAGCCCCCCACAGGTAGGACCCCTCTGGCATTTCTAGGGACAAACACACAGCTTATGCAACTAAAAGAAACATGTTTACAATTATCAATCACCTTTTTTATACGTATTGCAACAGTTTGAATGTTTACAAAGATCAAGGTCATTTTGAGCTCATCAGGTCCTTATGTAAAAATGCTTCTGTCACAAAACCAGATGGTGTGGAGATTTGAAATGCATCAACTTAGTTATTACTATAATGGATACAATACAAGATTATAATACAAAAACAATCAATTCAATTTTGTTCTGATCAAACCGGGAGCAATCTCTTTTAAAAATAACTTCTCTACACGTCAAAGTGAACTGTGTAACTATTCTATATAGTCTATATCATCTGCCTGCATCCATGGCAATGTCATTACTTTGCCTAGAATGTCCCACAATATGTTTTTATAGCAGCTTTGTGGCTGAGTGGCAAGCACTCTCACTTCACAGCAAAAAGGTTCTGGGTTTGAATCCCAGGCCTTTCTGTGCAGCATTTGCATGTTTCTCTCGGTGTCTGTGTATTTTTATTTATTTTTTTAATATTTATATTTATAGTCATATTAATAAGTGTGTCTGGGTGGGTTTTCTCCAAAACATGCACAGCGGGGATGGCACTTTGGCTCCCACTGTGGCTCCCACTGATCCTGCCAGGTTTCCACAGCAGAATTGAAGAATGGGTCAAATGCTAATTTGAAGTGTACCTTAAAAGATGGAAAGTTACGTAGTGCATCTTTAACTTTTGACACTGCATAAATAATGGTTTCAAATAATATAAAAAATAAATATATATTTTTTTTTATATTACTATTACTATTACTTTTACTACTAGAAGTAGTCTGTGCTGTCCTCCAGACTTGGAAGAATCTTGCTACATTCCACCACTCCCCTATCAACAGCTGTTCCCTGCAAAGATTACTCAAATTAAAGACCTGCTTGCTTATTTAGACAACCTCTTAGCCTGTGTTTATGAGAAACTCTCTCTACATCTCCTCAAAATAGGCCACTAATGAGCATGCAACCTGCTGTACACCTTGTTTAAGTTGCACCTGCCCTGTGTCAATATTCCCTCTCCGACTCTCTGAGGGAAAAGTCGGCTTCTCTCGGCCAGGCTCTGGATTCATTATGCCTCGCCACGGTGCACGCTGGGGTTGGTACGCCCTGGTTTGGCATCACCAGAGAGCAGTCCCCCTGGCCCTTGTGAGGCGGGGAAACAGATGGTGCGCTCCCACTTTTAACCAGGCACAAACCCAGCACCGCGCGCCACCACTACCCAGCCGACATCCTCCTCCATTGAACATAAGCTCAATTATTCATGCCTCCGTGCAGAAAACCCCCAAAGAAGCCTGTGAGGTGCAGGTACGGTGGACAGGGGCATTTTGTGTGGCAGTGGCATAATTAGCGGAGGTTTTGTCAATATGCAGATGCAACTTTTAAGACAGGTGTGGAAAGAAGCCAAAAATGGACTAAATGATGCATATCTAAAACATGCATATGAGTTACTCTTTGTTAATTGTAACGAATGTCATCATACATAAACTTTGGACTGAAACAGACATAAGTATAGCACTATGTAAATTTTATCATGTAAGGCTCAAAAACCTCCTATTTTCATTGTTATTGTTTTGTCTAGAATGTCCCACAAAGTGGCATAAAACACATGTATTATATCTCCATGGAGACAAGCAGGTGACTCCTCCAAACTAAGTCTTTTTCAGCCATAAAAGTGCCTGCAATTGAGTAAATGCTGTCATTTACTCAGCTACCTAGGCCTTAGTTTTGACCTATGTTGTGGTACAGTACAGTCAAAGAATTAACAGTTTCATAGCGCATCATTAATTGTAAAACTTGTTAACATTTAAGGCCCGTATCTATTTTTATTTCCTGTAGTGCGTCAGAGGTGGTTTACAGTTAGCAACCTTGCTTGAAGCATCATAATTCATAATTCATTGGAAGCGGTTTAGTGTCCCTATTTAAAGTATTTCTAGTCAGTAATAATTTGGATAGAAAGACAGTGGACTAGTGGAACAACGGGAGAGCAGCATAAAATATGAATGCATACTTTATAATGTGGATTTTAGGACTCCAGAGAGTTATTCCCTTAATTGCGAGTTAGTTCTTACTTAAAATGGGATTGCTCTGTGGATCCATTAATCTGAACAAGGCCGGAGTCTGAAGCGGAGGTGAGCTGTTTCGCCCTCACACCAGCGCAGTCATAATGTGATAATTGGGGGATAGTGCAGGGAATCTCAGAGGAACTCTCTTATTGCAACACCACTAAAAGCCCACAGCTCATCACAGCTCACCACAGCGGACACACTCCAGCGGCACCCTGGGTCTGTTCAAATGATTTGCTGCCCGCGGCGACCACACAACCGTAACAGCTACATAGATTCAACGTGGAGTTAAGCAAAACATATTGATTACATTGGTTTGTGCATTTGACCAAAATGATTTATTTGAGACTGTGATTGTTGTTCAGGGTTACTGTACCATTAATGTTCTGTGTGTACTGTAGTGTGAGGTAATTATCATTTATTAATGCATTTTGAACTAATTATTTTTTCCCGGTTTGGTTTGATTTGATTTGAAGACATAATATTTTGATTTGAAGACATAATATTTAGATTTGAATTACATTTTTGCTATAATAATGGAGAACTGTTGCCATGCCAAATCATTCAATCAGGAGGAATGATTGAAACACATTGCCCTTCATATTTTGATAGAATTATGATTAATAAATCATTTAATAATTAATCAATTAATAACATAGTTTAAGATATATGTATTCTTATCAGGGGTGTCAAACTCAAATTCACAGAGGGCCAAAATTAAAAACTGGGAGTAAATCGTGGGCCAAACAAAACATTTTGACAACATCTGCTTGTTTTCTCTTTTTTTGAGATACGTAATGTTAAACCTTTTCTTATTAAAATAAATGTTTAATAATAGTTTTGCTTAAACATTTAATCCAGAACAAGCATAATATAAAATAATAACAACATTTTAAATAAATAATGTCTCTATAGCCTATCTGTAGCTTTTGAACTCATTTTAAATGTTTTTTTGTTTGTTTGGTTTTTTGCTTCACAATTCCAATGAAAATCCAATCTTTCAACTATGAACAGTCAAAAATCATAAATAAAACATTCATCCAAGCTCAGTTTGCGAGGCTGTGATTTACTCTGATGCACATGGATCCAAACCAGATACAAATACTTGGCATCTCTTCTTAGATACAAGTTCATCAAAGTAGTAGTATTAGTAGTAGTAGTAGTAGTAGTAGTGGTGCATGAGCCATACTGGAGCGACACCCGGTGGGCCAGCTCTAATAAATATTTGATATGAGCTATAGTATGTATTCCTATACTTATATTTTTATTTCTATGTCATTTTTGCATTTTCCCTCTTTAGAAATGCCATAGCACATTATCTTTTATAGTTGGATTGCATATTGAATTTGTATATTTGCTGCTTCATATGCAACCCTTAACAAAGTCCCCTGTAAAGGTCTTCTGTAAAGGAACTACAAAATCAAACAGCATTAAAACATCTCCCTCAATCCAAATAACACATAAACATTATTACAGATTTGTTACTTTTATGATTAAAGTTTCAGTTTTCTGTCTTCACACACAAAAGCTTGTGCAGTACATTATGTCATTATATTAAGTTTAGAGTCAGGCCAATGCACATCTTACAAAATACAATTCACCAGCCGTGCAGCCCAAAGTGAATTAGCAAAGTTCATGTCATCTGACCCCTGCTTAATTCACCCATTTGTTGCATTCATGTGGAGCTTGCATACCTTAACCGCTAATTTAACAGATGCCATTCTTACATGTTTTGTGCTCCCAATCAGACAATAAAAGTTAACCACGTTTGAACCACAAGGTCACATTTGGTTATTATAGAAGACATCAGTGTTAATTAAAAATTCCAGTGATTTTCTGCAGTGTAAAAAAAGCACCTCATATGTAATTTTGGTGAATAGACTTGCACATTCAAATCTAAATAGCTGAATGCCTAATGATTAATCCTTGTATTGAGGTGCAAACCTGTGTCCGGAGATGAAAGACAGGGCAGAACTAAATCATAACTCAAATTTTCATACCTTTTATTTCATTATTTTAGACGAAGATGCCTCTAATGTCCAAATCATGTGCGCCTGGTGCCAGAAGGTCGGAGTCAAGCGCTACTCCCTCAGCATGGGCAGCGAGCTGAAGAACTTCTGTAGCGAGAAGTGCTTCGCCGCCTGCCGCCGCGCTTATTTCAAAAGGAACAAGGTAAGAAAAAGACAAACGCTTTTAATGAATAAGACACTTCAACATCACAATGCAAATAAAGTGACAGTCCCCTGGTTATAATTACTATAAATCCTCACTCCAAAACACTTGTAAATTGAATAGGGATCGAGCCACAAAAACACACTTGCCGCACTTGTTATTAAATTGTCATTTTTGTCAGATGACTGCAGTTAAACAATTCTTTCTCTCTCTTGTACCGAAGCTGGGATATATAAGGAATTACATTGTGAGTATGCTGTGTTTTACTGTCCTGCTTGTCTGTCCTGGAGTCAGCTTTTCATTCAATACATAATCACATTTTACGCACAAAGGACTAGACGGAAAGACAGGGTGCACTTAGAGACTCTTCTTTTTCATATCAAAATGTATGTTTTTTTTTATTTATTTCTGGGCACTTATTTCAAAGCATGAAAACACAATTGCGTATACTGTCAGGCTGTGTATGTTGTCCTCATTCTAGATTCATTATTGAAAACTGTTGAATCAAAACATTCCAGTCTACTCATTGCATCAGTCTCAAGCCAGGATAAATGAAGAAATTCACAACAGAGACAACTCAAACAGAGGCATGTTATCAAAATACTAGTTACAAGATATGAACAATCCTCCCCATTCATCCAGGTTTGAAGCTGACGCAAAAGGTTAAAGGTACAGTTAGGAATTTTGGACATAAGACCTCGTTTCCTAGTGAGCCAGAGTGTGGGAGGAGTGTGGATACACTTTTTTAAATATTCCATCCAGTCCTTGTATTTACAGAGGTCGCTAGTGCTAGGCTAGTGCATGTCAATGGCCATAGTTATCCTGTCACTAAAAATCGTACCCACTCCACGAAACCCCCGAAGCAAATCTATTATTACACCAGACTGTAGCATTTGCATTTGAAGGATTTATGTCTGAGCAGCAGCAGGGAGTTGTACTTCCTGATAGAAAGCTTGGCAGTGGCAGACTGATATATGAGAAAATAGTTCTTCAACATGCAACAATTCATGCGATGCAAGGTTAGTTTTATTTCAGACATTATTCTATCAACACAGATATTTACATGGACAGTCTGGTGTAATAATAGATTTGCTTCGGGTGTTTTGTGGAGTGGACAAGGCTGTTTTTAGTGGCAGGCTAACTATGGCCATTGACATGCACTAGCCTAGCACAAGTGACCTCTACAAATACAAGGACTGGATGGAATATTTTAAAAAGTATCTCCACATGTCTCCAACACTCACATGAAGTCCTATGTCCAAAATTCTGAACTGTCCCTTTAAGGAAAATCTATTAGAAATGTACATGTTTTATTACCTCTAACCCCATTGTGATTCTAGGTCTGTTTTTAATGTGACCATTATTACTAAACTGTCTACCATGAAGAACCTATAATTACTTAATTATAATGTGTTAGTTCAAGTGCAGATTAGTAATCAGCATGCTTCTTCAATTCCTGTATAGTTTGAAATTACACTTAATTAAACAGCCCACTTTATATTCAACCATCTTAAATCACTACAATTTAGTTTTTAATTTCAAATCTTAATAGCATTGCAAGACCATACCATGCATTGCCTACTCCATAAACTTTTCCCAATTTCTGTAATGGACTACTTTCTTTTGGCGCTCCCCTCTATAATATACAACTCATACTAGCGTGTTTACGGTATCTCTTGGCCATAGTGATGACAGATAAATGTTTAAACATAAATAAATAATAGTGTGTGCGTTTTGAGTGGCGTGCCTTGAATAGATGACTTATATTGACTGAAATATTATCCCCGCATAAATCTACTCATGTGCTATAAACTTTGTAAAATATTTGCCAATCAGAACTGCAGTCATAAGCATTACACATCATTGCGCTGTTGCAAGAATCCACTGAGCAAGGGACGCGTAAGTGATAAACGGTTTTGAAAAGTTAACTTATATTATTGAAGTTAACTAAGGTATTTTAATAACTAGTAAATCTCAACTAACTGAAGTGCTGTCTTAAAGATGCAGTGTTCTGTTCTTATGTAGGGTACCCCACCTGTTTTTGTACATGTTCCACAGTATAGCGTTACTTATCTAAACATTTATTTCATTATGGGTGTTTTTATGGCTCAAAATTACATCTTGCTTCTCTACAAACATTTCAGGCAAAGCTATAACATTCTCCATAGAGAGACAGGTACGTCCATTTGAAACTTTTTACAGTGCACCTTCAAGACAGAAACCCTAAATGTCTAAAATATTTGCTTTATGTTTAAGTAAAAATGTGAAACAACTGAACAAATATACCTGAGATTTATATTAGTCTTCAGATTGAATAAATACTATAGTTAGGCCTGTCACAAAAATTACTATTTTTACTTATTGTTCAATATTTGACCAATGAATAATACTTTTTGGGGGTCAATATTTATCGTGTGTTTTCTTCGCTGTACTGTCATGGGAATTTTTTTGATATTCTCTTCAGCAATATGATTAGACAGTTGTAGAGAGTTGAATTATGAACAAATATTATAAATAGATTACTGTACAATTTGCTGTTTATTTATTGCAGCTCAACAACATTGCACATTTAATTTTTGGAGGGATAATTCTGCATTATGGTTTGGTTTCTATATTATCGTTTATTGTCTATATTTGCTTCAGCGGTACAGTATATCACTTTAAAATCGTGACAGGCTGAACTGTAGTAATGTGACCTGGAACATTTCTAAACAAACCAAATTGTACTAAATTTGCTTTGAGCTCTGTAGTTGACAGCATAAGATACACACAAATATACAGTATATATTTGTATATTTATACAGTCTTTCTACAGCCTTAACATCCTCCTGTCACAGTCCTCCCCCCTTACATGGCAGACATGCTCTCCATCCGTCAGCACAATGCATAACCTCGGTAACACAGGACACAGCTCAGATTCTGTATTTTGTCTGGCTCGCGCACATTCATGCAGGCCATTTGTGTAAGTGATACCCACATGTTTCCTTTCTCATGCACCCACAAGCTTGGCCACAACAACATGGCCTGCAGCCTCCCTTTATCCCAATAGAAAAAAAAAAGTGGCGTGTGTTTTGCATAGAGCAAAGGGTATAAACATGGCGGGGTAGGGGGCAGAGGGTTACAGAAGTATTGGGGGTGGGCTTTGGCGTTATGTTGCATGAAATATCTTCAGCTGCCTCATGCGAGAAACCTGATCCCCTCCTTGGGTGACTCTTTTTTTCATATCTCTGCATAGCTCTGTTGCAGCAGATAGAGTGGAAGATGACGGATAGCTTAACTGGGGCTAATCGCTTATTGCCTGTTTACTGAATGCCTTAAGCCTTTGTGGATTATTGTATGGAGAGGGCTGCTGCTTTCTCACTTATCCTGTCTGTCACCTCACTGTACTGTGCACTATTGATTTCAAGACGTTCAGATCCACTACTTGCTACTTATCTATAGTGTTGTCACAATACTAAAATGTCCAAATTGGAAAAAAACAGAAACAAAACAAAAAAACACATACACTAGAACATTTATGTATTAACACACCTCATTTTAAACTCCACCAGAAACAAAATACTGTATTAATCCTGGCAATTATCCATCTCCTTGAGCAAAAGTCTGTACATAATGTAATGTTATTTCCATCACAGAATAATGTTGAAATAATGTCTTTCAGTTGTGCCATGTAGCTGGACTTCATATGAAAAAGATTATAGCTGTTATACATTGCTGTATACTGAAATTAATTTGTCTAGCTATTAGTTTTATATCCATTAGTTTGTGGGTAAATTCTTGACAACTTGCAACCTAATTTTCCACTTTGGTAAGAGACAGCTTGTGTGGAGAGATAGCAAAACGGTGGCAAAGTCTGAGTGTTTTTCATGGATTAATGTAATTTGGCTTTGGAGTTCAGGTATTTAGAAGCTGCTCCACTGTCTATCCCACACCCACACATACACAGATAAACACGCAGAGGACACTGTGCCAAGAAGAACTTAGGCAATTAAGGGTGATGAATTGCGTAAATGTGAAGCGTGGCAGCAGAATGGTACAGGTTAGACGGATGTGCGTGGAGACATAACCTGTCCAAAAGCACTAAGGCTAGGATTGAAAAGATACACGCAGGAATCAAAATAAATACAGAGCCCAAGGAGGAGATGTGATGAAATACAGACTGTTGTTGCTGCAATGTGACCAATAATGAGATGTCTACAGCTGGGATTTGTGTACACTTAACCATAACTACAACCTTGAATAGTATGGGTTGCATGGCGTAATGGGCTAAAGTGTTCAACAGTGGCTCAGGTGATACAGTGGTCACCCCATATCGAGAAGTTTTATGGTTCAATCCCAGCTCCAGTCACCAAGTTTATTTAATGCATTATTAAAGAAGAATACATTTTTTCTGGCAGAGGACCCACCACCTAGCCTGAGTCATCAGCCGGTTTCACTTCGTAGAAACTATCTGGCCTCGCAGCATTAGGATTCGTTCACTCGACAGTAAATGGGTACTTTTTTAAATTTAACCAATCATTGCTATTTGGTTGTGACGTATGTAATGTGCCAAATCCCGTAGGAAGAAGGGCAAAAACATCTTTCCCCTTGATAAAATTCAACAAACATTCTCTTTGTTCCAGCTTTAAATCCTCGATCTCAGGAATCATTGACATCACAGAATGTATCGTTCTTCACTGATTGGCTGGTGCCCGGACTTGCACTTCCGGGGTTTTTGTGAACCGTCTAGTGTATTCCGATTCCTGACGTAGTCGCTGGAGAGAAATGAAATTGAGCGGAGGCACTAGGTGACGCCAGCCTGGCTATCCACCACCTGCTTGTCTCTATCAAGATGTTATTATTTTGCATGGATGATCCTGTGGAATTAAACTTTTATATCTCTGTGTACACAAGCAGATGACGCTAGCTGAGGTACAGGTCAGATCTATGGAAAGGAAAACCTGCATACAGTAAAATGCATGTTGTACTGGCATAAAAACAACTGTAACTGAATAAAAGCAAGATAGATATGTTCAATGCCATACTGTGGAATATTCAAGACAAAGATATTTCCATGGAGACAAGCACGTTCATGAGCATTTAATATTATAAAATAAGAATTACATTTGACTAGGAGACAGAGTGTCTTGCTCAAGGACATCATCAACCACCCACAATAAGCAAAGAAGCAGAGTAGACCAAAGCAGGACAGAAACTACATTAATGAATTACAATAATATATTCTACAAAATATTGATTAGAAATGAA